AACTAGAAAGAAATTTAATAAAATCTTCTCCAGGCATGTATTTCCATGACTTCTTCAATGCTTGTCTAACTAATGCCTTCACCTTTCCTTCCTTGTGGACATCATCATTGAGAACCACACTCAAACCCCCAAAGACTTTGGGGGTCCCCTGGTGAGTGGGCTTTTTCAGGAAAGAGGCCAGAATGGGGCCTCCCTTTTCCATGTCTCTGCTCGGGCAGGATGTGGGACGGCAGAGTCTCCTCTCCCCTCTCCCTCAATGTGGCGGCCTCCTGCCCCCTGAGAACAGTTGGTTCTGCTCTGGACTGGAAATTTGATGGCAATTTGTTACCTTAATGCCCTGAGACCAGTCCCTCTTCACTCAGAGGCATTGCTAGGGGGAGTTTCTCAAACATCTGTGACTAATACACATTAAGAACCTCCTGTTTCCATGCCCATCCAAGAAAAAAAAAAAAAAAAACTGGAATGATCTTAAACACCACTTTCTATAACTCTTTAATATATGACAAAAATGTTAAGGAGAAAAGATGTTAATATTGGAAGAAAACAACTATTTAATATAATTTTAATCAGTTCACTGATAACTGTCATGCCCAACATGGTGGAAAAGGCAATCAGGCTAAGCTTGTTTAGGCAAGCAAAAGGCAAGCAGCTTCTGAGTAACATCCCAGATGCTGGCATGCTGGACCACCTTCAGACCCGCCCTTGAGGTGTGTCCCCAGGATGATTTACATGAGAAAATGTTTTCCTCTTTGCTGGGACTTCTGGTTGGTCTTGCTGAGGCCAGCCAGCGATTGCTGCCTTCCTCCCAGCTTCGGAATCCTTTAGCTGGTATGTTTTTCCTTTCATCAACTCAGCCCCTTCTCATCTTCTATGGATAACCTGGAGCCTTTCTGGGTATCTGTCTTGGCCCCCTACTCCCCAGAACTGCCTTGGAAATTATCTGGCTGGCCTTTTTTTTTTTAAACCCTACTCTTCTGGTTAACATCTCCGCCCCCTGGTGAGAAGATGACTTCCTTTCTGTTCCCCACCCCATGCCCCACCTTACACCTGCTGACGAGGTGCTGTGCAGAAAGTGGGCAGGACTTCTCTATGGCTTAACCACACTCCAGAGTTAGCCTGTGATTTCAAAACACCTCTGGTGCTCTGCTCTATATGCTGCTTATGAGCAGCATATAATTGACATTATCATGGAGCCTTAGACAAGATTTACTTTTGTGGCTCATTTTTTATAATAATTAATAAAAAAGAAATGTAGAGAACAAGTATATAATATCACTTCTATGTGGAATCTAAAAAGAATGATAAAAATGAACTTATTTGCAAAGCAGAAAGAGACTCACAGACATAGGACAAAATTTACAGTTACCAAAGGGTAAAAGAGGTAGGGGAGGCATCAACTTGGAGTTTGGAATTCGCAGATACAAATTACTGCCTATTAAAACAGATGAGCAGCAGCTCCTACTGTATAGCACAGGGAACTCTATTCAACATCTTGTAATAAAACATAACGAAAAAGAATCTGAAAAAGTAAATGTAGATCTAAATTGCCTTGTTGTACGCCCGAAACTAACACTGTAAATCAATAAAAAAAAACACCATTATTAATATAACATACAAATGTGTAGTGTATAAAAAGCAGGATATTAAACTTGTTTTCTTTGTAACTTGCTCTTGCACGTACTCATGCACATATATCTTTTCCCATGTTATCAGATAAATTAGCCATCTGTTGGCGTGTCATAAATTAGCCCAAAACTTAGCGGCTTCAAACAACAAGCACTTGGTATTGCACAGTTTCTGAGGGTCAGAAAAACACCTTCATTGGGGGTTCTGGTTCATGGTTTTTCATGAGGTTGCAAGTCAAGATGTTAACCAGGGCTACAATTGCTTGAAGACTGACCAGGGCTGAAGCACTGCCTCCCAAGCTCGCTCACAAGGCCTCAGACTGTCGTGACATGGGGATCTCCACGGGATTGCTTTAATGCGTGGCAGCTGGCTTACCCTAGGGTAGTGATCTGAGAAGCAAAGCTGTAACGTCTTTTATAACCTAACCTCAGAAATGACATACCATTGCTTTGTCACCATTGATTACACAGACCCATTCTGGCAGTGCGTGAAGTGATTACCCCAAAGTATGAATGCCGGGAGGTGGGAACCTCCCACCCTGAAGTCTAGCTACCGTTACATGTGCGTATTTCATCTGTAACAACTCTGGCTCGAAGGTCTCCCCGCACCCTCAGCCTTCCTTAGTCCACATAGCGCACAGGGCTGCATCAGCTCCTGCCATCACAGCCTCTCTTCTTCCCCCTTCACCGTCCAACCTTCAGTTATAAGTTTGCAGAATGGCTTGTACTTTCACCCTTAGGCTTTTGTGCATCCTGCATCCACACCTCCCTCTTTCCCTATCTAGTTTTCATCTGGGTATCAGCTCCTCTTAAAAGCCTCTCCTAAACCCTGTCCTTGGGGGTTTAAGCACACTAAAAGAGGATTAAGCACCCTCTTGAGTGTTCTCCCAGCACCCTTTTCTTCCTCTGCTGAATACTTTCACAATCTATCTAATAATTATGTGTTGATATTCCCGTCTCTGCTTTCAGACTGGCAGCTTCATCAACAGGGGGTCTGAGGTCTTATTATGGACTTCAGATGGTGTCATTTCATACTACGTGGTCCTCAACTTGTGCTGAATGAATAAATGAACACACTGCGAATGAGCCTCAGGGAACTGTGGTCCATGAGAGCTTGGCTAAGACTCTTCTCCACCATCCTCACTGCCACTGTAACTGTTGTTGATTCCCCCAAGCTGGCTTCAGCAATCTGTTCAGAGCCCTACTCTGCTAGCTTTTCCAGATCCAGAGAGCGCCAGCCAGCACTGCCATTGAGCTTTGTTTTCATTATGCAGGCTTCCTGGGAAGTTTCAAATTAATTTTCATCCTCTTCTCACTTTTAAGGCCTCTAAAAAGGGCTGCGTTCCTGCCTTCCTTGGTGAACCAGGGCCCTTCCTGTTCCCTAGGACAGTGTTCAGCCTGGTGGGGTCTGCATGGCCACATGTCCCTGGACCTCCCCTACACCAGGCTGGGGGCTTCCAGGCCACTCTTCACTTGGGCCCTGGGAAAGCCAACCCTGTTCACGGCAGCTGGGCCAGCGCCCACCTGGATCTGATGGAAACTGAGCATTTCGTCTTTAAATTCACCCCACAACATGCATTATTTTATTGTTTGTTTTTACCCGCCGTTAAAAGTAGACAAGATGAAAACAATGATTTCACTGAGCTTTAAACTTGAAAAACCACCACCATGTTTGCTCTGAAGTGGACTACGGTACTGAGTAATATGTTCACTGCTGTTAATGTCTTTTTTTCTGCTTGATGCAGATTTCCATTTCTTGCTGAAAATCACTCCAGTTATCCACAGACCCACTCAGGAAAATGAACATGGAGAAATGATAGCTACTCACCAACTATTGGTCTGGGCTTGGTGTAGTCTTCATAGCCTTGGTCTCACTGGAACCTCTTACCGTCCTCTGCGGGAAATCCTAACACCCCCATTTTGCAGCGGTTCAGAGGGTTGACATAGCGTGCCCAAGGTCACGGAGCTCCCATGTGATGGCATTGAGATCTGGTGGTTTTTTTTTTTTCCGATTCTAAAGCTCACTCTCTCATCACCACCCTCCCCCCAACCCCAGTCCCCTGCACCCCTTCCTCAGCTTTCCAGCTATCAATCTGCAGGAACTGCCTAAAGACTCATTTTTTTTTGCACCGAGGCAGACAAGTTTAGCAATTTGAGAAGTTCTGGCAAGTGAACGTGGTAGAATATGGTAGCCATTTGCTGCTGGGCTTTCAAAGGGAGATGTGAGAAACGCAGGCTGCCCAAGCCTTTGGAAGCCGGACCCTGGGAAGGGCGTTTCTGGGGTACGGAGACAGCAGCCGGAGACCAGGAGCCCTGAAGTAGAAAACCCTCCCCGCTCCCCTGCAGGAGTCATTCTCCCCCTCCACCCATTCGGACACTCTCTCTGTAATATTTTCCCCAACAATGTTTCCAGCATCCAGAAACTAGTGGGTGGTAGGGAGGGCTGGATCTCACACTGGCTGATGCTGCTCACATTGTAAACTGCGAGGTGCCTCAGTTTCCCCAATCAGCAGGCTTTCTGAAGAATTAGGGAGCGAGCTGGTGGTTCCTCCAGGTACCCATTGCCAGGTTCCCACCGTCAGCTGCTCACATAAGAGTCCTAGATTAATCTCAGGCTAGGGCCTCCTGTGTGGCTGAGCCATCAGGTTGGCTGTGAAACGCCTTATTTTATTTTCTGCCTAACATCAGGCCGCAAATGAAAATACCTTTTCAACCCCAGTATTATTACCCCTATGGATGGCACCTTTAATGCACGCTATTCATTGTTATAATGGCCGCACCTGTGTAGGACGCGCACACTGGAACCACAGCAGCTGTGGACCGTAATTGCTAAACATTATTTTCTGTTTCTCCCTGAAAGCTTTTGTGCATGCGTGCATGTGTCTGTGTGCGTGTCTGTGTTCGGGCGTGTGTGTGTGTTTTATCTGTAACGACTCTGGTCCAAAGATTCCACCCTCCTCCTCTTTGAAAACATAAAGCGAAGTGTAAATACATTTATTTCTAAATTCATGTTTTCAGAGAAAGTCAGATGGAACCCCCTCCACCACCTCCCCGCCACATACACACACACTTAGTAATGAGACTTCAGAGAGAGTCTCCGGCGCGTGTGGTCTGTGGCGAGGTCCCCACGCTCCCCGCCGCGGGGAGCACAGTCTTTATTGCGCCTTGGCACACGGGCCCTGCCATGATGAATGTATTTGTTCCCTGATACTCAGCCCCCAGGTGTCTGCAGGACAGTGAATCAATTTAGCGCCTGCAGGCCCAGATTATCACCCGCACCAAAGACATTTCTGCACCAGGAACTTCCCAATTCAAAACAGGCTTTCTAAGAACACCGTCCCAGCCCCGTTCGTTCCTTTGTGCTTTTCTGAGCAGTCACTCGAGGCCCCCACGAGAGCTGCTGCCACTGAAATGCTGCAAGTCGCCCTTTGAGACAGTGCTTTTAAAGTCAGCAGTGCAGCTAGTCATTTGAGATTTACACGAGGCAGGCGGCGGCCGCCTCTCTGTGCCCGTCTTAGCACCCCCAGGGGACCTGTCACGACACACAGCCTGACCATTGGCCTTGCAGGTGACATTTACTGTAGTTATCGCAGGCAAGGTCTGGTGGGCAGTAAACAGAAGCGCCTGCCCGGGGGTCACACAAATTCACCTTCTCTCCTCCCCTTGCACTTACCTCCTTCACAAAGAGGACCCTGCTGCTGCCTCCAGCCAAAGGGTGAGCTCAGAAGAGACTTGCTTGCACAGGACTGCCGCGCTGGGGTGAGGGGACCTGGCTCCTGGCCACCGTCCCGGAGCTTTAGGGAAGAGAGGATCAGGAGACGCCCCGCCAGCCGCCTGCGGACGTGCTCAGGCAGTGAGACCTGGCCTTCCCACAGGTGTTGCCCTGGGATAAATAGAAGGCATCGTTGATGCAGGTGTGCGGGGTTGTCAATCACCATCAATCATGGGCTCACATAGAAATGAGCAGAGTTTCTCAGAGAAATGGCATCTCGTTTCCCTAGCCCCTCTGGCAGTTCTGCACGAAGGCGGATACTGGCCTGACCATAGAAGCCTGCAGTTACAGGGCTTAGACAAGAACGTGGGTCCTTTCTGCTATGGTCACTCAGCTGAGAAATAAGCTTTCTGGGCTTGCTGGCTTCCTCACCTTCGAGACTTCAACAGCAGAAAAATGACTTTCTGCTTTTGGGATGGTGGCGCCCCTGGGCAGGGTGCTGGTTCCTTCTTCGAATTTGATCTTTCTTTAGAGGGGCAAACACATAGGTGGTCAAATAGAAAAACATGTGCATTCAATTGCCTTGTGTATTGACAACACATTTGCTAGTGAGCAGTGACTGCCAGGAGGGGCACGCTATAAAGGTAAAGCATGAACATCTTATAACTTGGGTCAGGATATCAGCTTTGGCATTTCATTTTTTTTTTTTATGCTCCAAGTAAATGACTTTAAAATACTAAAATCTATTGAAAAAATCAAATTCAAAGTTATTTAGCTAGGCGAACCTGAACCTATTTCTTTACATCTTTTTAAATTGGAGTATAGTTGCTTTATAATGCCATATTAATTTCAGGGGTACAACAAAGTGATTCAGTTATCCATGCATATATATGTTGATTCTTTTTCAGATTATTTTCCCTTATAGGTTACTACAAAATACTGAGCAGAGCTCTCTGTGCTGCATAGTAGGTCTTTGTTGGCTATCTGTTATAGTAGTGTGTCTATGTTAATCCCAAACTCCTAATTTGAACCCATTTTTGAAAGAGAATAAGTATTAATTTTAAAACTAAATAATAAAATAAACAATAAAAGATAAATGAAAACTTGATTGGAAATCTATCCACCTCTCCTCAAGTCCTATAGGAGGAGGTAAGGAGGCTGTGAATTGAGATTGAAAAAAATCTGGTAAACTTTGTCAGCGTGATTATTCCTTTTTTGAAGAATCTGCTTGATTGGTAAAATGGGCTTCCTGATCTCTTAAGCATATGATTCGTGCTTGTATAGTGACTTTTAAAAAGTGAATTAGTGTAGTGCAGGCATAGTAACAGAAAAGACACCAGAGCAAAACCCTTCCTGACGAGCCCAGGTAGATGAATTTATAAACAGGTCAGATAGCAAGGCTGTGGTGACTGTCTATTGTACTTTTTGTCCAGAAGGGGGCAACATTTCCTTAAGAATTTGTAAGAAAACTGGTGCTTCCGAAGATAATTTATCTCTGGACATTGTGTTTTGTTCTCTTTTCAAAAGCACAGCACAGAACGCGTGGTCCCTCTCACCCATCCTTCCTGATTATTCTTACCAGATTAAAGGGATGAATATTGTTTCTTTCTCCCATCTTCTCTCCCCCGCAGGAGAACAAATTTGCATTGTCAAGATTTTCAGGCTGAAATGAGTTAATGCTGAAAAGAAATTACATAGCTGACCATTTTAGACCGTCAGTCCTTCTAGTCCACCTCATGTCCCAGAGAGGGGATGTCTTTCTGGAGACAGAGTTCTGTAGGAAGAACCACCCTCACCTACAGCAAGTAAATCAGACGTCCACTCACAACCATGGGCATCCCTTACTTTCTGAAAACCCCAGTGAACCCCACAGGAGTTCTTTGCAATGATCACCCTTCTCTTTGCTCCATTTGGCTGCTTGCTTGTCTGTTGATACTTGATCATGCAGAGATTCAGGAGCAAGAAGAAAGATAGTGGACACACTTGTTTGGGCCAAGGTAGCAAAATCAACCAACGGAGTCGGTTGTCTAGACACAAACATTCATCCTGCATGTGGTCCAGTGTCTCACTGGCGAGTCGGGGACTATTATTCAGGAACTGAAAATATCGCCACATTCTTCTTCACCCCACCCTACTCCATACTCCCCCATTTCCAGTGTATTTTACTTCGCGGGGGGAGCATGGCTGTTGTAAACGCACATACATCCATACAGGCAAATGGCTCTGGTCTAAAGTAACTTTGAAAATTGTTACTATTTTCTGTTTCTGACCAGCAGTTATCTTTGTGGCATACACTTTGTTTCCCTATTAGAAAAGAAAGTGGGAGTTAAATATTACTTAGGTGTGGGAATTGCTCCAAATTATAATAAAAGATTAACATTTAAAAAATGTATTTGCAGGGATTCTTTGAGTAGTGTAAACTTGTGACCTTGCCTTTTACGTTGGGAAGAGGGATAGTATGTCCTTTCCCAGGAAATACCTGACTAGTCAGTCTTATTGCTTCTCTCTCTCTACACACACACACACAGTATCCGGTAGGACATATACTACAGGCTCATGCAATCCATAATTCCCCTTGCTCAGAGACTAGGCAGAGGCTTCTAGAGTATTCAGGGGGCTTTTCCCGCTCCCCACGCACACACAGACACCTTCACTGATTCTTCCTGCGGCCACCTGCAAGGCTGCCTCCTTCCTGACCTCAGGAGAAGAGTCTTGGTCCTGAACAGGCTCCGTCTTCCCTCCCTCGCCCGCAGGTCTGAGCGCCCCCTTCTCTCTGCGGCCCTCTCTTACCCCGTCTCCAGTGATTCTATTCCTGCCTCTTCCTGGGTAGCCAAGGATCGCTCCTCTGACCTGCCCCAGGGCGGGTACGTGTCTGCATGATCTAGGCATGGCAGAAAGAAGGAGGAGACAAAACGTCCTGCCACATGTGCTTGTCAACTTGAAAATTTTGTAAATGTAAAAGATATCTAGATTACACATGAACATGTAACACAGTATAAAACGAATACCACAATACAAAATAACAGTTAAAGAATGAACTGTTATGCTCTTGAAATCAGTGATGTCGACTTTTCCCAAGCTCAGAACTTCCATTTATACGTGTAGCTGAGTTTGACTTTTCTTGAAGCCAGTGGAACCGAATTGCAAATTGTGGAGCTCCCACTACACAATGGAAAGGTGGCCTCTCTGCGGTCCTTATTGTGTCTCGAGCCCCTGTCTGCTGGGTGGTGCAGGCAGGGAGAGCAGGGGATTCTCCTTTCAGTAAGAGTCTCTGTGCTGTTTGATGTTTAGGTTGACCTCTGCCTCTTCAGGTCTCTCAGATTTCCCATCCCTGACTCTGCTCCTCCCCCAGATAGCGTGTGACCTCCTGGAAGAAAGGTCCTCTGTAGCCCAGCTGTCTTCCAAGACAGAGTGGCTGGCCTTTCCTGCGCCTGGTTTGATGACCAGTGAGTCATGGCTGGTTGCAGCCAGCTCGGGGCAGGGGGGCTGGTGTGCTAGTATCTGCCACAGGTTTGGGCCATTTGGCCCTTTCTTAAGGCCCCCGAGAGCCTGTGCGGGTCCCCTCTGCATCTTCACACACGCACCAAGTTCCTCCGGGATCCCCGTGTACACCACCAGGCAGGGGGATGTTGGAAGACCTGTCCTGCCCTTTCCACTGATGACAGTGTCCTGGCCCCTGGGGTGAGGGGGACAGCACTCCCTGCTACACCCTGGGAACTGACCACTAGCTCAGAGTCAGCTGGATTTCCCACACCTTTCTCATTTCAAGAGATTTCCCCCATCCTAAGGATAACGAGTGGGATCTTAATGTTGAAACTTGCTTTCTTGGTGTCTCTCAACAATTCCCATGAGTCCCTCTGAGAAAATCCAACCTCCAGATTTTTCTTACAAGCTCAGAATCTTCCATCTACACGTTTCCCTCTATGGCATACCCTCTTTTCTACTTTAGGGCAACAAATGTAATGGCCGGATGATCATAGCAGAGGGGGAATCTTATCTATGTTATGAGAAAAAAATACAAGATCTAAGCCCTTGGGCTTGGTTCCTAATATACTAAAACAATTTAGAAAATTTCCTTTCTCTCTCCCCCGTCTCTACCAAGTCCATTTTTCACTCTATTGTGTTTCTCAATTTTGAATGCCGAAGGCTAAATACACTTTCTCTTTGAATTTCTGCTTGAATAAACTTGATGTTTTCTATCCTACCCCTACCCTTTGGTAGAAACTTCCAAACGAAAGTATGTATACAGAAATGCAGAAGAGAAAAGCGCGTTAATATTTATAGTCCCCTTCATACTAATCTCACTCATGCCTATAAAGGAGACTATTTCCTCCTCACCCGCTCCCGAAGCTCCATGCAGAGGAAATGCTACTTTCTAGTAGTCCTGTCTGTGCAAATACCTCAGCTGATTTGTCTTGGTGGATGGTGATGAAGGGTAACATGGCAAAATGTGAGCTTGCTTTTATTGATTTTTAAAGTTGCTGCCTGACTTACTCTAGTTCCCTCGCAAAGAGTATCCTGTAAATTGTTTCCATCTGGTAAATTATGAAAAAGTTTATGTGTGTGTGTGTGGTGGAGGGTGTTGGGTATGGCAAAGTACTTCAAGGAGTCCATTTGTACATCCATTCCATCTTTGATTTCCTACTGAACATGAGGAACATGTTTGGACTGGAACCAATCTCAGTTTGGCACTGCAGATCTTAACAGTTTTGGATGACATCTAGCTAGATATATTTTTGGTCATTCTAGGGACAAGAGAGTCTCCTAAAGGAAAAGCTACTACTTCTCTTTACCTCTAGGGAAATGCCCAGGGGTGAAACTGGGTGTATCACAGGTCCATGGAAACGTCTTGGAGCTCCCAGCCTCCCAACCTCCTCCTGGTATTTTGTGAAGCTGAATCAGAGAGAGGACTTTCCCCACTTAGGAGTCCTAAAAGTCCCCGAATGATGAAGAAATACCAGAAGTTTCATGCAAAATGCCCAGGTTGTGTGTAAAATGTAGAAAAAAGTGACTACAAGATGTATTGGCCTAGGATCATGCCTGCACTCCCACCATCAATGCAGCCAGTTGTTTGTTTGGACTGAGAGGTCCCAGTTTAGTTCATTACTGTTGGTTGGTGGGAGATGATAAACTTGAATTTCCACGGCATGTGTGAGGCTCAGCCTTAGTCAATATTTACACATAATGATAGTTCTCATCAAGGCATAAGGACTTAGATAGTTATGAAATGATTATACATCACAACCCATCTATAAACAGGATTTTAATTATCATCGGCAGCAGCAACACCCAGCATTTATTGAGGAGCTACCCTGTGCCATCACTGAATTAATGAATTTGTTCATCGGAGCCTCCTGTTCCCATAAATATTTGCTTAAGTTCAATCTCGGTAAATCACAGAGGCACCAGATCCAGATACCTGGTCATTTAAGAAGATTATCTGGCTTTTGTTTTACAGTATGAAGAGGTTTTTTACTTGTCTTTGAAAGTGCAACTGGAGTTTTCTTGGCAACATCAGACTCCGAG